GTGACGCAATTAATGGAATCAAAGAACTTGCCGACATTTCACGCGTCTATGAAGAACAATTGTTTCTATCAAAAGTAGTCCTTAAAGGTCCTCAAATGAATAGAAAATCCATATAACACGCATCCTACCCTATAAATAGGCGAAGACGAGCAAGATAAAACAAGTGATACAAAAGGACTCATGTTCAGCACAGAATTTTTTCCTTCCACTAGTGATGGATGAAAACGAGACAATAAGGTGAGGATAGGGTATAGACCAGGGTGAACCTCTAGGTTATCCGCCTAAAATAATTTCAATCAGATATGTTCTTTTGATAATTGAAAGAAGATTGAACACAACTATCTATTTACTATGGGATTAATAAGTTGATCTACGGCCACTCCAAGTTCTTCCAACAAGAAAGGATGTAGTTGCGGAAATCTTGAAAAGAACTCTCGACCAGTCAGTTTATTTATTGAGTGATGTTCATCTTTTGTCTTTTTCGTTCCAAAAGTTCTTTGCAATAGAGTAGAAAATAGCATAACAGAACAATTTCTCACTGCCCAACTTTTTTTTTTTAAGAAAAAAAGCAAACATATAAATAAAGTAATTTATCATATTATAGATTGATAATAAGTGAAGATACCTGGAAGAGGAAAATCCTTTAATGGCCAACACAAATCCGTCAGACACATAAGATAACACGTCTTTTCCCAGTGTCGCATCCATAAATATAGTTCGTAGTATGTTAAATGCGTGTACCTGAGGTAGATCGATCGTTTGATCGACATCGACAGGAGCTTCCAAACCGATTTCTATTAACTTTTTCATGGTCCAGGAAAGAAGTACCTTGCAATTACTGGGTTCGCTACTTACAATTGCTAATATACAAAGAGGGAGACCAGCACTTCTACGCGTGATTGATATAGAATTCCCCATTATACTATCAATGTTTTCCTGATATAATTATAAAGTTTCACGTCAAGAATCATGTAATAGCTGAAATAACATTATTGTATGTGTGTGTCTTTAAACACCTCAAGCCATATTTTAGGCAATTCAACGAATTGTTCTTGACGAGAGTTCAACAATCGAGAGCACAGAGATACGTAACCCGGATATACAGCCGAAAATGCCCCTCTATGCCGAATCGATGTCAGCAATTTTCTGAATAAAGAACCGCCGTTACGAATTCCTTGAAGATCCAACATACCCTTCTGTAAATCAAAATGAGAAAAATCCGAGATTAAGGTGCCGGTAATTATGATGACAATAAATACTTACTTTATTTCCAATTTCCGGAGAAGCAGGCGCCCTCGAAAGAACTACGGCAAGAAGTGTGCTAATAAATTAAATGAAAAAACAACACCAAATTAGTTGATTTATTTTAACAAAAGTTTGTGTGATAAAATTCCCATACCTTGCTTCTTTCACGGCTCTCCAACAGAAGCTTAATATCACTTGATGATTAGGTCCTTCACTTTCATCATTACCAACGCCCCCAGAGTTCACGACCAATTCATTAATAAATTCGTCCATTTCTTGAAATGAAGCTGGGACATTTCCTTCTGGTGATGGATTTGATAGTACCTCCAAAACTACTTCACAGACCTTGTTGATTAGTTCAATTGCACGATCATGAGTTTCGCGCCATTCATTCCAATTCGCTTTTACAGATTCTGAATTATAATCTAATTCTCGGAAAATGTATTGCAATGAAATAAGAGTCCCATGCATGGGGTGTTTTTGAGAAGCCAGAAGCAGATTATCAGAAGCAACGTTAATTTGCCTGTTTAAAAGAGCCAATAGTTTTCTCGTGAAGGCAACTAATGTCGAATAAAAATTTTTTTGACCCTATGAGTAAAGAAAAAGCAATAAACAGACAATTTGATCAATTTCTTACCAGAAGGGATATTTGAGTCATCAGATAAGTTGTTACTCTCCAATTCCACATTTAATTCATATCTCAGTCCAACCACATATTTTGCAAACACCAATCGAAAGATCATTGCACCACTGTCGCTTTCCCCGGCTCTTGTACTTGTCATCGAATCTAAGGCCCAAAGCAGTATTTTTTGAACTTTTTCTGGTGATTCAATTCCTGGTAGTGGAGAAGGAAACATCTCCAATATTTCATATGCAAGCAT